GGATATACAATGGAGAAAAGACAGTCTCTTCAATAAGTGGTGCTGGGAAAACTGGACAGCTACGTGTAAAAGAATGAAATTAGAACACTCCCTAACACCATACACAAAAACTTAAAATGGATTAGAGACCTAAATTTAAGACTGGACACTATAAAACTCTTACAGGAAAATATAGGAAGAACACTCTGACATAAATCACAGCAAGATCTTTTTTGATCCACCTCCTGGAGTAATGGAAATAAAAACAAAAATAAACAAACGGGACCTAATGAAACTTAAAAGCTTTTGCATAGCAAAGGAAACCACAAAGACGACGAACACACAACCCTCAGAATGGGAGAAAATATTTGCAAACGAATCAACGGACAAAGGATTAATCTCCAAAATATATAAACAGCTCATGCAGCTCAATATTAAAAAAACAAACAACCCAATCCAAAAATGGGCAGAAGACCTAAATAGACATTTCTCCAAAGAAGACATCAGATGGCCAAGAAGCACATGAAAAGCTGCTCAACATCACTAATTATTAGAGAAATGCAAATCAAAACTACAATGAGGTATCTATCACCTCACACCAGTTAGAATGGGCATCATCAGAAAATGTACAAACAACAAATGCTGGAGAGGGTGTGGAGAAAAGGGAACCCTCCTGCACTGCTGGTGGGAATGTAAATTGATACAGCCACTATGGAGAACAGTATGGAGGTTCCTTAAAAAACTAAAAACAGAATTACCATATGGCCCAGTGATCCCACTACTGGGCATATACGCAGAGAAAACCATAATTTAAAAAGACACATGCACCCCAATATTCATTGCAGCACTATTTACAATAGCCAGGTCATGGAAGCAACCTACACACCCATCAACAGATGAATGGATAAAGAAGATGTGGTACATATATACAATGGAATATTACTCAGCCATAAAAAGGAACGAAATTGGGTCATTTGTAGAGACATGGATGGATCTAGAGACTGTCATACAGAGTGAAGTTAGAAAGAGAAAAACAAATATCGTACATTAACACATATATGTGGAACCTAGAAAAATGGTACAGATGAACTGGTTTGCAGGGCAGAAACTGAGACACAGATGTAGAGAACAAACGTATGGACACCAAGGGGGGAAAGCAGCGGGTGGTGGTGGTGGTGGTGTGATGAACTGGGAGATTCGGATTGACATGTATACACTGATATGTATAAAATGGATGACTAATAAGAACCTGCTGTATAAAAAAATAAATAAAATAAAATTAAAAAAGACAAAACAAAGCAAGGCTTTGAATACATTTCAGGGAAGAGAAAAGCACCAAAATAGGAAATATTCAACTCTGTCTGTTTGAAATGGTAATTATTTCACCTTCTAATTATGAAAATAAAGCACCATTAAAAAAAAATTAACTTAGAAATCTTAGTGTATGTTGTGGTAATCAGAATGCAATGCAATGTGTTACTTTTATTGGCTCACAGACACTGCAACATCTGATAGAGAATTTGCCAAGAACAAAAATTAATTGAAATCCATCATAATTTAAAGACATTCCAAAAATCTTAGTGCAAAATCCAAGCCACCTTTGTTTAATAAAAAAACAAAGAAACGAACAAGCAAAAAAACCCCAAAAAAACAATTCAATGGTTATGGAGGAAGTCCACTCTGAAAGTAAGGCTCTATCATCATTATCTGTTAATCACAGAATATTAGTTTAAAGTATTTTTAAAAATTCTTTTGGCTTGAAGACAGTTTATAAATAAAATATTAGGGCTTCTACTTCTATTTACTTTATCTCAGCCTTTCAAAATTTATTTTGTATGTGTTTTATAATGCATATATAAAACACTCCCATAGAAGTTTAGAGGCTATTGTCCTAAGCACTAGGTGATTTCTGAGTACTCTGCCACTAGAAAGTAAGCTCCATGAGGGCAAGGACTTTTGTTCACCAATGAAACCCAGGTGTGCTGGAACACCGTGGGGACCCAAAACTGCTGAATAAATTTGCTTGGCAAATCTATCACCTCAAAATGGTAGAGGGCAAGGTACTTGCTCAACAGCAAATATCACTGAGCAAGGATCCACTGAAGACACAGTGAGCAACTAAGACAGAGAGAATGGCCTTTGTCTCCAACTTTGGCAGAACTCCAGCATTATTGCTATCATCAGCAAATGGTTCATTTCCCAAACTAAACTTATTTATTTGTCTTATTTTCCATGCAGTTTACTTCTGCATGTCAGAATGATTGTTTTAGACACCGGCATTGGAACCAAAGGGTCTTTAGTATGCTTTGTATGTCTCCCCCTTGTTGTAAACATTTATATGTACTACCTTCAAAAGTACATCAGTCTGGGGGCATGAACAAGAAGAAACTACTGTCAACTGCAACAAAGAAGCCTTGCTACTTCACAGATATAAAAGAAAAGAATCCAGGAGGCCAATCTATACTTCAGAAAAATTTTAACACACCCTTAGATGTCATGGCACCATGGCTAGCAACTGCTGAAACAGAGAAAGGACACTATTTCCCCATGAGGCGATGTTGTTGGTAGGTTTCTGTTAAAAGCATCAAGGGCATGGCCAAAATCTACTTTCTTATACTTAGAAGTAATATACCGTTTTCTTTGCTTTCCCAATATCAACTCTTCAAAACGGTTCAGAAAATAATTTAGATTTATATGACTATTAATAAAAAATTGATTCAAATGTCCATATGAGAAACCCACAAAATTCTTTTCTGGTATTTTGGTAATTCAGGCAATCTGAGGAATAGACAAGAGAGAAATGGTACAGCCTAATAGTTAATTTTCACTAATAATACTTTCCTTTAAAAAAAAAAGATCATGGCAAGGGACTTCCCTGGTGGCACAGTGGTTAAGAATCCACCTGCCAACGCAGGGAACATGGGTTTGAGCCCTGGTCTGGGAAGATCCCACATGCCACAGAGCAACTAAGCCTGTGAGCCACAACTAGTGAGCCTGTGCTCTAGAGCCCACGAGCCACAACTACTGAAGCCCACGCACCTAGAGGCCGTGCTCCACAACAATAGAAACCACCGCAATGAGAAGCCTGCACACCTCAACTAAGAGTAGCCCCCGCTCTCTGCAGCTAGAGAAAGCCTGCGCACAGCAACGAAGACCCAACACAGCCATAAATGAATGAATGAATGATCATGGCAAAATTATAGTCCAAATGCATACTATAACAAAAAAAGCCAAGCAGTGAAAATCTACTGTCCAAATATTAATGCTTCCAACAATTATCTCCTCTCCCTTGTCCTCAGTTTTCTCACCAGCAAATATACTGTAATAGCATTATCTTAAGAAACATTCTCTTTCAGTCAAACAGGTTATTTCTCTGTTCTCCTTTAAAGAAATACTCTTTGAAAGTGTTATCTATGATGGTTCCCTCAATTCCTTCCGTTCCATTCTCTCCTGAACCTGATCCAATCAGAATTTCACTCTTCTACCTCTAACAAAACTGCTTACAAAGGTCTCAAGCAACCCTGGCCCCACGAAATCCTATGGTCAATTCTTAGTCTTCACCTAACTTGACCCATCTGCAGCATCTAACAGAGATGATCATTCCCTCCTTTCTGAAACATTTTCTTCACTTGCCTTCCACATACCACACTCTCTTGGTTTTACTTCTGCTTCACTGGTCACTCCTTCCCAGTTTCTTATCTTTCACATCTCCAAAGACTTGGAATAAAAAAATGTTATCAAGGCTGAATTCCAACTGAGTTCCCCACCATTCCCTATTCCCTTCCTCTGCTGCATTTTTCTCCCCAGAACTTAACACTATAGAACATACCATATACTTGATTTTTTTTTTTTTTGGTGGGGGGAGATACGCGGGCCTCTCACTGCTGTGGCCTCTCCCGTTGCGGAGCACAGGCTCAGAGGCCGTGGCTCACGGGCCCAGCCGCTCCACGGCATGTGGGATCTTCCCGGACTGGGGCACGAACCTGTGTCCTCTGCATCGGCAGGCGGACTCTCAACCACTGCGCCACCAGGGAAGCCCCCATATACTTCATTTTATTGCTTTATTTTCTGTCTCTACCCATTAGGTTATTTCATGAGGGTAAGAATTTTTGTCTGTTTTGTTTAGTGTTGTATTCTCAGTGCATAGAACAGATCTAGCTTATTGTAGGAACTCAAAAAAAGATCTGTTGAATGAGTGAATGAATTAATAAAAATAAAAGGGTAAACAGCAAGAGTCATCTTGTACTAGTAACTTAGCAGCCAGATACCCCAATAAGCAAATTATATACATTTCAGTTAATCCTGAAACAACCCTATGAGATCTCTGAGGCACTGTGGGGTGGGGTGGGGTGTTAACATGCCCCAAACACAAACTACTAAGTGGCAGTGCCATGATTCAAACCCAAGTCTGTCCTCTTCAAAGTTAATGCTCTTAATCACTGCATGGTATTATTTTCACTGGAGTACTATTTCGTTGGTTTTGAACTAAATCCAACCCTGCTATTTGAAGAGTCAGCAATCAAGTTTCCTGTAGTTGTAAAATAATCTCCATTTTGTCTGTGAAGACAAACATTCGTTTAGTATCATCAACTTAGAAATTTTAATGGAGATTCTTATTTTAAAGGAAAGCATTCCACATTGCCATTTTCAGCGATAACAGTATAAGTGAGAAGACACACCGCTCTCCTTCAAAGTGTTGATGGCAGAACTTCCAACTTCCTCTCTCCCATTTCTATTAACATCTCAAGCCAATGGTTTCCAAACCTGGCTGAAGAGTCACCTAGGAGCTTTTTGTTTTCTGAAAACAAGATTCCCAGGCCCAACTCCAGAGCAACGAAACCAGCATCTCTAGGAAACAGGGCTCAGGAACCTAGTATTTTTTAAAGCTCTGCAGGAAGCCTTGGTGGTTAGCCAAGTTTGGAAAACACTGGTTAAAAGAACCAAAGCTGGCAAGAAACTAGTACCTCTATCTGAGCATCTGGCTCACTGTTTAACAGTGACCAAGTCTCACTGGTACTGACCTTCTTGGAAAGAGGCACGATGCTGTTGGGTCGAACAAGCCTCCGTTTCTTACAGCTCAGCACAGGACGTGTTCGAGCTGCCACACAGGTGCCATCAGTTGATGAAGAAACTAGATTCAGTCTTTGCTTTTTATGCAGTTGTTCCTCAGCATCAGAGTTGTCACCTGGAATGTGGTCTGCCAAGACAGGCTGAAGACTACACAAGGGGAAGGAAGAATATTCACTTCTTATAAGACAAAAGGAAACAAAGCCTTTAATACTTATTCAACCACCTCTACTTGCAAACGTTCACAGACACAAACGTGTTCTAGAGCACACAGAGGTCACCTCTTGATGCTGATGTCTGTTAATCTAAGTGGCTACGCAGTATCTGTGCTTATTTTTAAGGTGCTCTTGGTGGATGTTACTCTACCATGTCTGAAAAATGCAAAAGTCAATAAGTGAACTCAGGTTCTAGTGATTAAGTTCTCTTCTACAACAAAAACATGAATTCTTAAAAGTCTAGAAAATTGCAACTGGTAAGAATATTTTTAATATATATTGAGAATCAGTTCTCCTGTGAAACTTGTCTATTAGGGATGTGTACTCATTGTTCACTTGCAGAAGGATTCCTCGATCTTTCATAAACACAGATTTACAGCCTTTAGGGATCTAATCTGTTCTACAGCAGAGGATTTTATGTAAATATTTCTGAGGAATTCTACCAAGACAGGACCAATCACAATGATTCATAATAACTTTAGGACTTTTAATTTTTCTCCATGCTGAGTCGATATTAGGCCGCAGTAAGTAACAGGAAAATACATTAGGAGGCTACTTAAAATATACTTGCTACAGTAGGAGGAGGCATGCACAATATTATGAAGTGATAAGGTTTCTGCTTCTTTAAACCAGGGTTACTCCTGGCTAGGGATAATTAAGAGCCTCAAATCCATCTTTCACAAGCCTGCTGAATAAAAGAAGTATGCAGAACAGATAAAACTTACGTATTAATAACTCCATTGACAGGTCTCAATGCTCCACATGATTTAGTAGACAATGACTCTGAAGGATGACCAGAGGCACCATGGTTTTCCAGTGGTTGAGAAACAGACTCAATCTTAATGAGAAGAAAAATGAAAATATACTATCAACATTTAACCAACAGCACCAGCCTGAAAAGCAGCACCATTTCATTTTAATGAAATACCTAAAATTTCTGATGACCAACTTGAAAAAAAACTCATTTATGGAACACATTTAAGTGTTTCTTGGATTTGTGTCTCCTGGGCTGCAGTCCTCACAAATCCCAAATAAATGCATTTTTTGGCCTTAAAAAAACCAAAACCAAAATCACTCGTATGATTGAGGAAGAAAGAAAATAATTAAGAGAATCAGCTTTCGAGATTTTGCTTTGGCAAAATTTGGAGAATTTGCTTTGGAGGGAAGGGTTAGGAATTAAGATATTTAACAGACCAAAAGTAGTAAAGTGCCTACTGACAGGGAAATGACCTAATGACTCCATGGAACAGAAGCACAGCAAAACAATTATATAGTACCAAGAGTCAAGTTTTCAACCTAAGGGTCAAGAAGGGTACATAAGTTCAGTAGGAAGACAACTAAGAGGAAATTTAAATGTAGTTAATATCTGCTTAACTTCGCAGTGTATGCTGGAAGCTTGTTTCCAGAAAACCATACTCTCTCTCACTTTCTCACTCTCTCTCTATATATATTTCACCCCTGTGATAAAAGAAATAGAAACAATTAATAAAATGACAATGAATAACTAATAATTACCTAATGCTATCAGGTAGTAACTTTGGACTATACAAATACAGCTGACCCTCAAACAACTTTTGGATTTGAAGTGCAGGAATCCATTTATACGTGGATATGTTTCAATAGTAAATACTAAAGTATTACACAGTCTGTGGTTGGTTGAATCTGCAGATGTGGAGGAACTGTGGATAGGGAGGGCTGACTATACATTATACGTGGATTAAATCCCATGTTGTTCAAGAGTCAATTGTATATGCTTACAATATAAAATGAAAAAAGGGAGGTAGGAAAAAAATTTGGAAAAGTTGGAATTTCACTATTTCAAAAGAAATTATATATTTACTAGGCTAAAAGGGGTAGGGGCAGCCATGAGATGTCAATCACATGGAGTGTCTGAGGTATTGGCAATAAAGCCACAGCTCAGTTATCCCTCGGCTCTGGGAGTTGTTGGAATACCACAGAATGGCTGTGGTCTTTGTCTCTGCCTTACACTCAAACTGACTTTGGGGTGTTTTGACATCCCCTTTCCTGTAACTGCTACCAATATATATCAAAGCCAATATTTTGAGGCTGAAATTCTATTTATCAGTATTGTTATATTTCTCTTTTGATCTTTTTACCCCTAAGGAGAAAACACCAAAGGATCTGAAGACCTGAGAACAGTCTCAAGAAAGGACAATACATTGGGAAGCTAATTTTAAAAATTTAATACAAATTATCCAAAACGTTAGATCAGGGTATACAAACAGACAAGACACATGAGTAAATTACAATGAGTAAACACTGGGAAAGTGTTCTGTCTTCCCTGTTAGATACCCTGTACATTTACTGGTATATCTTGAACAATTATATTAGTCAACACCACCAGAATTATGGTAAATTTGGCTCATGTACTCATTGCCTTAAAAGCCACACTGATTTCCTCATGGAAAGTAATGTGTAAGAGTTATAAAGATGTTCATGTCTTCTGACAAAGTATTTCACTCATCCTTAAAATCTATCTTAAAGAAATAACTGAACAAAACATACCCCCAAATCTTACACACAAAGCTTGTCACTGCAATGATATGGATCAATAACTTAAATGCTCAACACCTGGGGCATAGTTATAAAATGTGGTACACCAAATCAGAATATTGAAGATAATCATAAAGGATATTTCCTCTTCCTTTACCCAGAAGAATATTTAAATATAGAAAACAATAGGCAGAAATGATTTTGGAAAGGGGCTCAATTCAAAATATTTTTAATATAATTGTGGCGACTAAAAATATATGTACACAGATAATGACAAGGTAAAAATAGTGTTAAAGAGGCAGAATAGAGACTTCACTGGTGGCACAGTGGTTAAGAATCTGCCTGCCAATGCAGGGGACACGGGTTCAAGCCCTGGTCTGGGAAGATGCCACATGCCGCAGAGCAACAAAGCCCGTGCACCACAACTACTGAGCCCACGCTCTAGAGCCTGGGAGCCACAACTACTGATCCCATGTGCCACAACTACTGAAACCCGCGTGCCTAGAGCCCGTGCTCCACAACAACAGAAGCCACCTCAATAAGAAGCCTGCGCACCACAACGAAGAGTAGCCCCCGCTCGCCGCAACTAGAGAAAGCCCACATGCAGCAACAATGACCCAGTGCAGCCAAAAATAAATAAATAAAAGTTTTTTAAAAAGAGGCAGAATAGGACCATTTGAAGTTTTCTTTACATTTAGATAATATCTTTAACATTAAAAAAAAAACCCAGATAAACCCAATACCCTCCTAAGTGCTAATGAGGATTTACCATTCAGGGAACACCTTAAAAAGCCCAAACAAGCATTATGATATGACAAAGGACAGAAAGATTTAAGATTCAGGCTGCTGTTAACTAGGAGATGTGTGACTCCAGCCATGTTACAGCTTTCCTAGATTTCTGAAGTTCTGGTTTGGATGAAAAAGTTTCCTTTCAACATGAAAACGCTGTGACTATGAACTTTTTGGTGTTGATCTGAAGAACTTCTGTCAACTTTATATTCACTTAAAACAATAGCTTTTAGCATTAAATTATGACAGAGATCTGGTTTATATATCTACATGTTTTACAAGGTGCCACGTTTAAGCAATAGGTTGACTCTCATTTGATTAAGATTTATTTTCTAGGGATTATGGAGAACTAACCACCAGGATACCTGTCAAGACAAACTGTTGCCATTCTTTAACAAAATCTCATTTCAAAACAAGTTTACTTTTCTTGGCTAATAATCTATCCTTGTTTTTCATGCCTACAGATATATAAGTATATTTAAAGGCCGTTAATCTTCAATGTGTATTCTATTATTTTTCTTAGAGGAACTTGGAACTTTCCTGGGGGTAATCCAGCCCCAAAATTAAAATAGAAGTCAACAGGCAAAAGGTTATTTAAGCACAGAAATGCTTGTCAAGGATACAGAAGCACATAGCAATTAAGAGCATCAAAGTCAGAGAGGAAACGTGCTTGAATTCCAATCCCAACCATACAAGGAGGCACTGAATATTTAGAAGGATCTGCTTAGAAACCTTGGGATATCCTACATGTAATCACCCTGAGATCTAAAGCAGGGCACTGGGGCAACTAGGTTCATCATTCATTCTCAAATTCAAAGAGCTTAAAATATTAACTCCAATCCTCTAATAGTGTTTCATCTAGAAAAAGAAAAACACACCTCACAAACACATGTAATTTTACTTAGAGTTTCTTAAATGCATTCACATTGCTTTAAGAAAAAGTGAACACTCCTTATCTTGCAGTCCAAAAGACTGCAAAGACAGGGTAGAGAAACATTAACAAACACTTCACAAATATTAAATCCACACATTAATTTAAGCCTGATTGTTATTACTGCAGTGGTTTACATCATTAATATTTTCAGGAAACTAAAGCATGACTCAGATATTTGCCATCCAATGGGAAACTGTAAATAGGAGTTGTTATAGAGCTTCTCTTGAGTTTTATGTGATGTTCAGATACACTCTGAGGGTACATGCGTCCCACAGCCAGAAAAGAACAGAAAAGGTGAAGTGAAGTAGTAGGTAGAGTGCTTCTGTAATCCCTCCTTTTTCTAAAGCAGAGCCCCTGGGATTACCTTTTGGGGAAATCTTAGAGTTAAAGGTAGCAAGCAGGGTTACTGAAGTGATTTTTTTTCCTTGACTGAAAGGGCCAGATGTATGGAATAACACAGCAGTGAGATTCTATTTGTTATTCTTATAAAGTAGGCATCTGTTTGATTCATTACTCCACCTTCTTGGCCAGAACAATTAAGTGTGACAAAGAGCCCTTAAAGAAAAACTAGATTAAATTAAGGTTTATTTGGGGGGCGGGATTTTTCTGGGGTCTGAGAACCCATGTTCACTGAATTTGTTTTACTAAAAAGTAGAGAAAGTAAAGGGGTAAAAATCAAAAGGCACACAACTTAAAAACACGTAATAAAATAAATCTCTAGGTGTGTACGCAAGATATGTGTGTATGTATCTTTACTTTAGTCATTCAAGTAACGCCATGCTGTAACTGTTTGAAATACCATTTTCCTTAGATGCACCATATTTGTTTGTCTAGAAAATTTAACCGTTCTGTTTTGGTTAGTTATTACCTTTCTGACAAACGTTATCAAAATGGAAAGAAAAGGCTAACTGAATGTAAGGAATTCAACTTTCATTTCTGGGTCAAAATGCTCTCCATCTCAATGTTACCCAGCATAGTCCTGCTTAAAATTACCAAAATACTGCTGGCCCATAAAGAGTATAACAGTCATTTCCATGAACTAGCACCACGGCCAAGAAATTGTGCTAAAGTGGAAGTGGAACTTTCTGAAAATTCCACTTCCACCAAGTTACTTACCTAGGCTTCAAATTCTGCATATGTAAAATGGGACTATGTGCCTCACTTTCCTATGTCTCTATATTGAGGTCAAAATATAATCTATAATTATATTAAAACAACTTTGGGAGATTAGGTTTGACATAAATACGCTACCATGGGTAAAACAGATAGCTAGTGGGAACCTGCTCTATAGCACAGGGAGCTCAGCTCGGTGCTCTGTGATGACCTATATGGGTGGGATGGCAGGGGGAGGGAGGTCCAAGAGAGAGGGGATATATATACACATATTGCTGATTCACTTCACTGTACAGCAGAAACTAACACAACACTGTAAAGCAATTATACTCCGATTAAAAAAAAAAGAAAGTTAAAAACAAAACTTTGAATTATTCGTTTCTAAAAATGCAACCAGCATCATGTTGTTACAAGTCCAGAGACTACTAAACCTAAGATCTGTATTTACCAACACTGTTGAAAATCTTTCTCTAGAATCTAGAGTAATACAGTAATTGCAAAAACAGCCTTATAAATTCTTACTGTTCAACTTATTTATCCACAGCCCAATTTATTTAAAAAATCCTAATTGGTCAGTCAGTGTTTTTTAATACTGTGGATCAAACGTTCCCCAGCCAGTATCTAACCCTCTACTCTCTATCTCAAAACCCTCATGGGGGCCAATGCACCATTCATTGTCCCTGATGACTGCAAAACTTCAAGGAAAAGAACACTGTTCCCGTGTAACCAATGGTAGGAAGATTATACCTTGAATGTTTAAAAAGAAAAAGCAATAGCTTACATTTTTGTATGCTTTACTTCTGGGAAAGCATTAGTCCTTTACTTAATAGTTCACTTGTTAACTCCATCAATTCCACAAAGCAAGGAAAGGTAAAAGAATGAGGCTTGGGACTTCCCTGGTAGTGCAGTGGTTAAGAATCCGCCTGCCAATGCAGGGGACACGGGTTTGATCCCTGATCCAGGAAGATCCTACACACCACGGAGCAATTAAGCCTGTGTGCCACAACTACTGAAGCCCGCGTGCCCTAGAGCCTGCACACCACAACTACTGAAGCCCATGCACCTAGAGCCCGTGCTCTGCAACAAGAGAAGCCACTGCAATGAGAAGCCCATACGCAGCAACGAAGACCCAATGCAGACCAAAAAAATGTTTTAAAGTGAGGCTTATTTTGCAAATAAAAGCAAACACAAATAATGATGTCATTTGTCAAAAGCCACAGAAGCAATGTTTTTGCTAAAACAAACAAAAAACCTCCTCAATTTCAAATCTACGGAAAGGAAGGATAATGCAAAAACTAATAAAACTGGCTACCTACAGGAGGTGGGAACACAATGGAAAGAAGGTGGAAATAGGAACAGGGCTATAGCCTTTTGTACAGCTTTAATTCTTAGCACAGTAGTAATGTTTTGCATACTCAAAAAATAATAAATATCAACTACTGTGTGTGTGGGCAACAAGAAGTGGAATACTATAGTAACAGAACGTAACTGTATCACAAAATAATTGCATAGTCACACTGAAAGGTGAACTAACCTAAGAACAACTTTGGGGAAATAGTATTTTGACGGTTTATTATAGTGCTAACATACTGTATACAATATTGTACTCTGGTTAGTAAAGATATTTCTCACAGGAGTATGAGCTGGCAATTATGAAACTATTTGGTACTAGGATTGAACAAATAAGTATCAATAAGGAAGGAGGAAGGCTGTGGTGTTAGACTGGTACTAGTATAAACTCATGGTTTTTAGTGTATATACAGATGGGTAGATAACAAAATATATGTGTGTGTATGCATGCAGCAGCATACATATATATATTTACTAGCTTTGTTGAGAAGTCCTAGATAGAAGCAATGACACCAAGTAGCAATGAGCACAACTAGTACCCAGATCTTGGTTTCAAAACCCTGTTCTCCAATAAAAAGAAGCAGGGCTGGAACAGGTAAAATACAAGAAAGATGAGCCTGGAACATTGTGGGGTGCCAGAAAGTGAGTGTTCAAAAAACAGGGGGCGGGGGGCATATTGAAAGGACACAGACGCCAATCTGAAAGAGGTCCCAATGCCAAAAGTTCAGACAACTGCAACTGAATAACTACTAATAGTAGTCGATTATAATCCATAATGTAAAATTAATATCCATAAAACCATCCTGAAATAAGTAACTGACTGATGGACGAAATAAATGAGGGAGAAAAGACAGCTCTTCCTAACAGAATTCCAATGAACAAATGTAGAAAACAGAAAACCACCATTTAGTAAACACCACAGCAATAATTACTGCAGTAATTTTGCAGGAAAAATCCACCAGTAGATGATAAAACTGTGGATTAAAGTATAATGAGCTGGACATATATACACTACCAAACGTAAGGTAGATAGCTAGTGGGAAGCAGCCGCATAGCACAGAGAGATCAGCTCAGTGCTTTGCGACCACCTAGAGGGGTGGGATAGGGAGGGTGGGAGGGAGGGAGACGCAAGAGGGAGGAGATGTGGGAACATATGTACATGTATAACTGATTCACTGTTATAAAGCAGAAACTCACACACCATTGTAAAGCAATTATACTCCAATAAAGATGTTAAATAAATAAATAAAAGAAATAAAAGGAAAGTATAATGAGCAACAGAAAAATGCATAGTATCCCCCCATGAGATAGTCATTCATTACAAAGGGAAAAATACTAACTTTATACAGTGGAGAAACCTGGCAGGCATCACATTAACCAAGTGAAAAAGCTATCACCATCATCTTGTACCCCTAATATGGTATACTGAGAAGGGCACAGTATCACTTCTGTGGAATTACTGCAAAAAATGCATAACCTTTAACGAAAAAACATCTGGCAACTCCATTCTGAGGAACATTACACATAATAACTTACCAATACTCTTGTGTCAAGGTCATGAAAGACAAAAACTGAGGTGCTCTCACACACTGGAAGAGACTTTAAAGAGATATGACAGGGCTTCCCTGGTGGCGCAGTGGTTGAGAGGCCGCCTGCCGAGGCAGGGGACGCGGGTTCGTGCCCCCCGGTCCGGGAAGATCCCACGTGCCGTGGAGCGGCTGGGCCTGTGAGCAAGGGCCGCTGAGCCTGCGCGTCCGGAGCCTGTGCTCCGCAACGGGGGAGGCCACAACAGTGAGAGGCCCGCGTACCGCAAAAAAAAAAGAAGAGAGATATGACAACTTTATGGAATGTGGAACTCTGGACCAAAAAAAGGCGGCATAAATGAGAAAATAAGTGAAACTGGAATAAAATCTGTAGTCTGCATCAATGTTAATTCCTCGTTTTGACACGGAACAATGGTTATGCAAGCTGTTAACGCTAGGGGAAGCAGGGGAAGGATATGTGGGGACTCTTGTGTACTTGCTTTTGCAACTTCTCTGTTAAGTCTAAAATCAAATTTCATTCATACACAAATCTAGGAGTTTTCCTTAGATCCAACTACTTAAAACAAGAAATGTTAATACTCATAAAAGCCCGTGACCTTTTGAGAAAAGTAAAAATATGAAAGAAATAAAGTAAAAGTGGTCTTGGAATTCAGAAGGAAAAGAAACTAATTTTGGTGTTCAGAGAAATAGGAAAAGGGAAGGAATTATGAAGAGGGATTTGAGCTAGGCTCTAAGGAAACAGAAGATTACAAAAAACGACAGCTTTATCCTCATTACAGAATTAAAGGGGGTAACTCAAACACCATTTTCAACATCTTTGTGAGTTAAACCTCTAGTCTGACCTTTCCATTTTATAGTGGCCCAGAAAGGTTACCTTACTTATCAAAGTTATCAGAGCCACATGGTCTCCTAATTCCCAGGAATATTCCATAATGTCACACTTGCTCTGGCTGTGTTGTCTTGAGAGTTAGAAGCTGCTTTTAAATTTTAAAGTCAGCTACACAACTGCTCGAGGGGCCCTGTGGTGCCCTATTTGGGAATTCAGGGCTTAAAATGCCAGAGGTGATAAAAGGGGATACAACCCCTTCCTTCAGCCAATGCAAGGATCCTTATTATAGAGAACAAACTATGCTGAAGCTACACCCCAAATTCTCACTCATTTTCCCTTTTCTGTCTTTTATACTTACCAATTTATCATTCCCATGATCTGTCTTCACCTCAGAACTAAGTGGAAGAAATAAGTCTGTTGTGTGCTCTGGGGGAGGTGCCTCTCCAAGAACTATCAACCCCTGCAGGACAGAGAGAAAAACAGCTTAAGTGGTGTAAGTTACAAATTTAATTTAGTAGTTAATATCAAGCGTAAGGGGCAGGGTGGGTCTGGTTTACCAGAGGCCTTTTCCTTTATCCTATGGTTCTGAAACAAAATATACCACCAGCAGCTTTGCTCTTCCAAGAGTGATTTCAACAAAAGGCCCTAGCAGTAGCCATGAATACAACCTAAGACTCAAACCCAAGCTTCCCCTTTCTTCCACTTGAATGTATGGACCTACATGGCTTGTAGCATCTTTTATTCACATCTTCCAGATCTGGGATCTTTATCAGAGTATGGTATTTTACACTATATCACCAACCAGACTATACCATATTAACAATAGCAATGCAGTTTTTCTACTTAACTTGATCAAAAATGTGGCTTAAGGATGACCAAACTAGAAATGCTACAATTATAAATGATGAGCTAAACCAACTATCTCTGAGCAAGCACAACCACCGGGTGAAACAAAGGTGGAACAGTCTCTATGGTCAGTATCTTAGAAACCAAAAACTTAAAACTGTTCCATAGACACCTGTTTCTCACAAGCATAAGCATTACTCCAGATTAGGTTCCTGCTTGACAATTTCAAGCTCAGATTTTACATTCATCCCAGAAAATAAAAAATGTAAAAAGAAATTTAAAATGACTCCACCAATCCTCTCCGTAGCCAGCATGGGCCCAGCTTGGTGAAGACAGAAGTTAGCTTACTATGAAAAATAAACAAAAGCCACAGACATGAATCTCCCATGAACACAAGTAGAGGTGACCAAAATCCAGTTATGACACTGTGTAACAGAAAGACTGGGATGCAAGTGCTCTTTGGTTCTCTTTCTCTGGTCTAGAAAATAAGGAGATCTGACTGATGAGAAGCTCTTAATGGAAATTTTGTATTAGAATCACTTGGGGGAAACCTTATCAAACTATACCTGCCCAGGTCCAACATCAAATCTACTCAGAAACTCTGAGGTAGGGAGCTGGGTATTCTGTTTTTAAAAAGCTTCCCTGGTACATCTTAATGCAAGCTCTAAACTGAAAAATACTAGACTCAATCATCTTGACTCAGCATCAGAATCCCCCAGAGAACATCCTAAAATATATCAACAGATTTCAGGGCCTAAAAACTTTGACTTATCAATTTGAGCTCCCTAGGCCATTATGACATAGGCTCTTGTGAGCCAATGAACCAAATGATCCTGTCCCTGGGGTTATTTCTAATACAAAAATCTCCGTGAAATACCGAGATGTAAGAGACTGGGGTTCCAGTGGTGGTTAAGAGGGAACAATGGAATTTTACCTCAGTTTAAAAGGGAAGAAAAACAGGACCTCCCCATCCGACCCCCCATAAGAGAAACAACAAGTTTCCTATTCTGGAATAAGACTATACATAGGCTATGTAGAAAATGCAGCAGAGACTCTGCAGAAAGAGGGAGAGGTTATTAAGAAAGCAAGAAACATTTGCCCTAGCTTTCAAAATGGGGTTTCTCTGGATAAAAGAACTCCTTTTTCACTGTTGTGGCCTCTCCCATTGCGGAGCACAGGCTCCGGACATGCAGGCTCAGCGGCCATGGTTCACGGGCCCAGCCGCTCCGCGGCATGTGGGATCTTCCCAGACCGGGGCACGAACCCGCGTCCCCTGCATTGGCAGGCGGACTCTCAACCACTGAGCCACCAGGGAAGCCCTGGCTAAAAGAACTTCTACAAAATATTTTCTTGTTTCAATCAGAAGCATAAAACAGACCTCACAAACTTTTCCATTTCAAAGTAAAAACTGTTTGTAAAAAGCAGCTATTTTGTACAACATTCCCTTCTCAGAATATTGCATTCAACATCTTCTCTGCTTAAGAGCCTAAACCACCTCCCCATCTCCTATATAAAGCTAGCCCAAACTCATCTTGGCATAGTCCATAATCCGTCCCTACCTTATTTATCTATTTCCAACTACTTTCTCCAAATATTGTTACACTAACTGCATTACCCCCTAAGAAAATGTCTGAATATATATGAAGTTGTTGAGAGCTGGGGGTTATTACAAAGTAGTAGGTAAAGAAATGCAACTAAAGGTTACAATACTACCTACTACCTGTTCTTATGTCTTTGTTTATACTGATTCTGCCCTTCTCTTACATTTATCTATCCAAAAGGTTATGCTTCAAAAAGCTTGTAAAGGCCAAGTCCCACCTCCTTCCAAGAAAACATCCCTGGTTTAACTGAGCCCCTTATTTTCTTTATCCACATTGCCAGACTTCCTAAAGCATTGTGATTTTATCTTACATTCTGTATATTTAAATCTCATTTTCAGAGCAGAACCTTAGGCCAAATTATTTATTTCATTTATTGTTGCCTCAATTTGTCATTTAAACGTTAACTAATGGTAAGATCCTTGAGGACTCAGACAAAATACAAATATATTCGAATCTCCCATATTCCCTAGCAGAGTTATACACCAAGAAAGGAAATGCATAATAATTATTTTTTGACTTTTATGTTAAAAACTTTTTGCCCTTGAATGAGAAAATATTAAGTTTATATTAACTATAGCTAGGAGCCTAAATAAATCCAACTATTAGGTATAAAGTTACTCCCTCAATTTTTCTTAGGTGAGAAGGTAAGTCAGGATAAAACAGCCAATATTTTCCAAAGGGAAATTTTTCTCCTTAAACTACCAAATAATTTCTAAAAAACACCTGAGAGACTACAAAGACACCCTCCTGTGAAAGCTTTAAAAGGCCTAGTAGGGACCATTTATTCCCCATCATTTTATAGACCCAGGGAGGATGCAGGTCGAAGGTCATGTCAATAGGCCAATCCGTGGCAGAACTAGGGATAAAAGCTGGGTTAGTTAGACCCAGCTAATCTTTGTTTTGGCTTTCATTCATTCAAATCAAGCCACCGTGTCTCCATTCATCAAACATTTTTTAGGTGCTGGGGGTACAGGAAAGAAAAAAGACATATCCTTCTCCCTACTCCTATCCAAACTCATCCCTCAAAGTGCTTACAATTCTAATACTGGGACAAAGACAAAATATCAACAATATGAGTAAGTAAATTTTATGTTGCACATTGGAAAGTGTTAAATGCTAAAAAACTAAAGGACAGTGAGAGGATAATAAAGTGGGAGTAGGCACTCTTTCATATTAGGCGGTCAGGGGAAAATGCACCGAGAAGGTGGTGTCTGAACAAATATTGGAAAGAAACTTGGGAACAAACTTTGGGAATATCTGCAGGAAGAGCTAATGCAGCAGTTTCAAGGTTGGAGCCAGCTTGATAACTTTAAGAACTGTAAGGAATTTGGTATGGCTGAAGGAAAATGAATGAGTGGAGTCTGAGGCAGAAGCTCAAGGCAGAGGAGGTAAGTGGGGGTGCAGGGCCTTGTAACTCCCTGTCTTTCAGCTTTTATGGCCAGATGGTAAATCACTGGAGAGTTTCAAGCAGAAGGGAGCAATGATCTGACTTATGGTTTAAAAGGATCAATTTGCTATTGTGTTGACATGTGGATGAGTGGATAGTAAACAGAGGAGCAGAAAGAACCGCTGTTGGACCGAAGTGGTTGGATTCTGTGTATGTGTGTGTGTGTGTGTGTGTGTGTGTACACACACACACACACACACATACATATTTGAAGACAAAATCAATCAGTTGTGCAAATATGCTTCTTGGGATGTGAGGGAAGAGAGTAGTCAGAGAGTTAGTAAAGGTTTCTGGCCTCTGCAACAATAGAGCTCCTATTAATCTGTTGAAAGGTCTTTTCAATGTGCATTAGTTTTAATCAAATCTATTTTTGCAAATATTTACTCAAGTGCTATGCTGGTTCATATGCTACCATTCACCCATGCATTC